ATAAACACCAACTGTATTTGCATATTTTGATCAGATTTATTAAGATTTATCGGCAACCTCTCTGTAATTCTATGTCAAAATTTCACCACCTCAGTAAAATTTTCTTGACTAAGCCACTAAATATTTTATGTGAACATTCACAAACTGAAAATATGGTACACTTTCCCATAATTTGAAGCATAATAACCATAGAAGGACCTCATGCTAAGAAAATCAACGAAGGATTAAAACAAATACTTAAAAAACTAAATCTGCCAAACCCCACACCATTATCATTTCTTTCAGTTGAATCAAGGGACAACTTTGGCGTGAGATGAAACAAAACTGCGGTAGCAGATGTGGTTGTTAAAAATACATTCAATAAGTCAACTGGGTACAATAAGCCATATTGAAATGTACTGTATAACAATCAAGAGAAGTCTTTGGAATCACTTGAAATAAACACAGTCAGTGTGTGAACAGATGTAGCCATTAAAAATGCATTTAAAAAGTCGACCAATTACAATATAAGACATTCATCACAATGCACAGAAGAAGAGAGTTTTGGAGGATTGCAGGAAACTAAAATGCTATGACTGCAGATGTAGTTGTTGAGTGTAGGTTCAAAAGAAAATCCTTCAGTAAGTCATTATGGATTAAATGTTTTCCTCTGCCTTTCATTGCATCCAATGTCTGTGCAAGCAAACAGATGAAGAGATAACAGGTTGAAGAGACTGTAGAGGCATCAAATCTGTTTGTGAGCACAATGTCTATATTTCAGTGTTTCATGTTCTTGTGTTGCCATGGATTGTTTTTGTCAAAGTGACAGATTCATGTAGAAACAGAAATGAAGAGTGGAAATAATTGAAAAAGCAAGGATATAGCAGATTGCCAACAAAGAAACTGACAAGTTAAAGTAGTCTGTGTGTCTCCAAAGTTTTGCATCAGGTTTTCATCTGAGCTAAAACGTGGGGCGGAGGTAACAGCCTGCAGCGCACAGCAGCAGGGAAGGAGGATTCAGACGATGAGACGTAAAATAAATTTGAAGCTGAGTTTTTTTTTTAGTCTGTGAAATTGCCCTATACATCTGTATACCTGCAAATTGAAGAAACATCTGTGTATTTTATGGATACATACAACTTGACATGTATGTAAATATTAGAGGTGCAACAATGTACCCGTACAATGTAACATGTACCCGTATCAAACCGTATCGAACAGTGCTTTAGGTTCAATACACACTTGTATCGAACAATACAGTTTTTTAAAATTTACTTCATCAACTTGTCTTCTGAAGATGCTCTGTGTTGAAGGATCAGTGGATCTGTGTTCGACTACTCCACCTAGGCTGCATTTTTGAG